ACACATGCATACATACATACATACCTACGTACATACATACATACATACATACATACATACATACAAACAAACAAACAAACAAACAAACAAACAAACAAACAATATATATATATACATACATACATACATACATACATACATACATATATATAATGCATATCACACTCTGTAGAGAGACACACAAGCGGAGGCATGAGCTGTCAGCATTGCCCGCGGATGATTCTCGCACCGAAACTTGACGGCTCGATGCAGGGGTTTGGGGGTTTAGGGTTTGGGGCCGCGACGGGCCGAAATCTCCAGGCATTCCACCCAGAGCGGAAGCCTGCGGAGGTTTGGGGCTAATCCGGTTGCAGTCGCCCCTGGAGCTTCAATCCCAAGGCCCCGAAAGAAATGGGAGGAAAAAGCATTGAAGCTGGCCCCCAGTAGCTGAACAGTGTCGCAACATGCACTGTCAGCGGGGGCCTCCAAGCCAGACTGCATTCGTTTCTTCGGCCCTGCAGTGGCACGTGGGCGGCAGACTTGCTACTGCAGTTTCGCAGACTGGCTAGTTGAATCACAAGACGGAATCAACACATGTCAACACGCCTGTTCGATTGAAACGCCTGTCGCATCTGCAATCGTTGGCCAAGGATGACGAGACTGATCAGCTACCATGAGATCATCCCATGGTTTATGGAGCCTATAGAGTCTATAGCTTGGTCTTGCACACGACACCAAGCCTCCTTCTGACCCCATAACGGGCTGAAGGATCAGGAGCAAAGTGCAAAAAACAGTCAGCTAGCGCTTAAACAACCATCCCTGAGTCCTGACAACCCTGAGAAGCCCGGCTGAGGCGAGTCGCTCGTGGCGGCGCGCTGCGCAGCCTCCACAAGGTCCACGTCGGCGAGGGTCCTGCTGCAGGGTCGCGTGCTTGGGGCCTAGGGTGGGAGACTAGGCTCGTAGTAACCCTAAACCCTAAACGGGGCAGCAACCGAGCTGGACAGACCAACACGAAGATTAACTGGCCCCAAAGCATCAGCGACCACAGAAAAGGTGCAATTGTCGTCGGGACTGCTGTCTTCAGCTTCATGCTCCCGTCAGGAAATCGTCCAATTGCAAACCCCAAGACTCTAAACCCCAAACCCTCTAACACGTTAAGCCCAAAAGCCTAGACAGCCCTAAACCCTGCAAGTCGAGCAGCAGCAGCTACAAAAATCGCGAACGTGATACAAGAAGATAAACATCCATGATCATGCGCGACAGCGTTCTTAATAAAGATAGTATTAACAGCCATTGTGCAGACAATGTTAATTCCTCCTACTTGCAACGGATTTGTTGCTGAGTGACACTGACAATGTAGAGATGATGCATGCCACTGCACGTACAGCCCGGAGAAATCTGAAAGCAGGCTCCTGAGGCCCTAAGCCGAAATGGGCTTAGGGTTTAGAGTTTAGAGTTCGCGAGCCTGATAATGACAGTGTTCTCCCAGCCGGTCTCCACTACTGGGCGTACCTCTCAGGGCCACCGGACGGGGTCCAAGGGCTTCCCAAGAAGAGAGGTACTTAAAATATAGCATCTTATACCGGCCCTAAAGGCCCTAGTTGGGGTCATGGTGATAAACTAATATACTAGTAGGTAGCCCAACGACCCCAAACACACCAACGACTGGAAGGGGCACGATCCGCATGGGTTGCAGAAACGGCCTCAGTGCAAGACACCAGTTTGAGGATGCAACGGAGGTCAATGTCGAAACCTCCTGCCACAGTAGGGTTTAATAGGGTTTCGTATGGTTTAGTAGGGTTTCTATAAAGATTCTTTAGAGGGCTCAGTTTTAGGCCTTAACCGTTAACAAAGGGCTTCTAGCCCTCATATTACTCCCTAAACCCTAAACCCTNNCCCTAATCCCTACACCCTAAGCCCCTTGTAGAAAGCCTTCAGGGGGCCCGGGCTCCGCAGAGCTCCCCAGCGCCGCCCTCGGCCATCGCTCCTTGGCGTGGCGCCAGGCCTTTCGCTTCGAAGGAGAGGCCAGGCTTGATTTAGGGCTTGGGGATTCAATTTTTGGGGCTTAGGGATTCAAATTTTGGGGCTTGGGGTTTGGGGTTGTCGGGCTTTTTTTTTTGGGTGGGGGGGGGG